CATGAGTGCAGGTGCTGAAAATGTCATTTATGAAAATGCTAAACAAAAGGGGGCCCAATATGGATCCCTGAGGGACACCAGTGTATATATGANCAGCAGTAGAACAGGAGTGACCAGCTCTGAAACCACTCTGCAGAGGGTTTAGGAGTTTATTTTTATGAATGAAGTCGGATATTTGCTGCGCTAAAAGCATCTCAAAAACCTTAGAAAGTCCTGTTAATATACTTATGGGCCTGAATTCACAAATCAGAGAGGCACCAGGTTTTTTGGCTATTGGTGTGACATTTGCTACTTTCCACTTGGATGGAAAGCACGAAGTGGTTAAACAGTGATTGAGTATGTGTGTAAAGCAAGCGAGAATGTAAGGCAAAATTAATTTGACAAACTTTATCGGAAGCTCATCATTCCCCACATCATTAGATTTAATACTGCATACACATCTGGCCACTTCCTCCTCGCAAACGGAACTAAATTGAAATCTCTCTTTGAATAAAATTATGACATTTCATTAAATTCATGCTACCTGATCACGAGCAGTAATATATTTTTCATCAGTCCACTCAAAGATGTCGAATATGATGAATCTGAAAATTAATGCATAATCTCCAAAATGGGGTTGACGAAAGTAGACTTCAGAACGGATGAATCAAAATTATACTTATGCTAATCGCTTATAGGAGGGGCGTTATGCGCAAGCCGAATTCAAGTTTTTTGCATACATTGGAAATTTTAAATTCGCAATTTGTTGAAGTTAATGGTGATAGCCTAATTTTTTGCAAAACCTGATGAGAAATTTAAAAGTAAATTTTCACGAATTTCATCACAATCACGAATTGTATGTGAACAAATATTGGCAGAAATTATAAAGCAAAGCAAAAATAATTTTTCCCAATTTGTTTTTGTTTTGCATGTTAAGTTATGAGAACAATTTATTCACATGGAATTGGCGATTATAAAAAGATTTATTTGAAAAGAGCATTCTTTAGAATTTGATTTTTAAATCGCAAGATTGCATTCAAAATAATAAAATGAAAAAATAACATCATAATGCTCTCGTGATTTTTATTATAAAATAAAAAGTACAATTTCAATGAAGTCTCTTTTGACATTACACATTTTATATATTTTTAATAAAAAAAGGTGCGAACCACGTAAGTAAAAAAAACTGCCACGCACTGATAATGATATTTGATTTGAAATATTATTAAATTGGTATAAATGTGGGAAAGAAAATACTCCGATTTATTGTTTTAATATTATCAAAGTGGCAAGGCCATAAAGAATACTCACAATTTATGAAACTTCAAAAAATTTTATTATCCGTCAAAAGTTGTTTATTGAAACCATGATTCAATAATAAAAGGTTTGCTCAAAAAGCAGTTTTCTCGCTCCCTCTTGACAAAATCGGCTCCCTTAGCAAAGCACTGTGTGTGGGTTCGTGTGTGTGTGCAAAGCTTTTGTAAGGCAGCTTAGGGAGTGTCAAAAGTCGAATGTCAATAATGAGCAAACCTTTAATTATTGAATCATGTATTGAAACTACCTTCTTTTTAGTATCATGGGTTTTACCTTTAAATATTTGTATCATGCTTTAGCGTGGGGATTAACTCCATTTTTGAAAATGAAAATAAAAGAATTCATTAGATTTTGTGCGTAGCTACGAAGAGGACGTGTTTTACTCGATACTACTAAGACCTGATATATTATATCAGAAGTGGTCCGCGGAACCATTCCTATTAAAAATACAGTCAATTTTAAGTAATATAAAATGGAAAGTGAGAACATAAGTGCTGAGCGATATTCGCTGTTGCAACTGAAGGCCTGGTGCACGGCCGTTGGGCTAAACGCGAGTGGCGCAAAGGCCACTTTAGCTGCAAGACTCAGCGACCTATCAGCGGAGGCACGTGGACTTTGCCCTGGAGAAAATGTAGCCGAAAATTAAAAAAGACAAGGTTCAGCAGCAGCAGATAATTTTGAGAAGAGTGGCGAGGACAGTAGTACAAACGATGGTGAAAACAACGATGGCGTGAACAACGACATAAACAACGGTGCGAACAACGGAATGGACAACGGTGCGAACAACGGCATGGATAACGGTGCGACCAACGGCACGAACAACGGGGCGAGCAACGGAAGAATTGTAATAAGCGACCACGACAACGATGGAGTGTGTGTTCGAAGCGGCACCTTTGGGCGGCGTCCAGCAAGGCACACCGAAGATAGCGATAGCGTGAATTGTAACAGCAGAACATTTATCCGTTATCCGCAACAAAAGGCTCTGCTCGAAAAAGACAAACAAATGGCGGGAACACACGAAGTAAGCGACAAAGTTGCGTCCGAAACACTAAAAGAAATAAATTTACCACATGGTATAATAAAGTAATGCACTACCGCGGTATATTAAAAGTCGAAGATGCGATGATGTGTGTTGCCATACACCTAAAGTTGAAAGGTGCAGTTCTTACATGGTATAATGCTAAGCCAACGTTCGCCAACAATGTAGACGAATTAATGAACGAAATGAAGGCGGTGTTCACATCCGGCGAAAGAAAGCTCGAACGCCGTCGTAGGTTTGAAAGCCGAGTGTGGGTGCCGGAAGAAAGTTTTGCAAACTACTACAATGACAAGTTCGCCCTACGAGCAGATTTAAATCTTAGTGACGAAGAATTCGCGGATTACCTTGTTGAAGGAATCCCTGGCAAGCAACTCCGCAACCAAGCAAGGTTGCACAATGTTACGTCACCAAACGATGTCGTGAGAGCATTCCGTTCAATTTCATTGCCGGAACGACCAGCAGCAAAGCAACGCACCGATGAACGTCTCAGGTGCTATAACTGCAACTGTTCAGGCCACTACGCGAAAGACTGCAGGAAGGCGAAACGAGAAGCTGGGTCGTGCTATGCCTGCGGACAGCAAGGACACTTCGCAACAAACTGTAACCAATATAAAAAAGAGAAAAATTCATTTGTAAGTTATTTTAGAATATATATGTTGTCACACGTTAATACTTATATGTTTGTAGAATGCTTAGTTGACTCGGGCAGCCCGATTAGCTTAATGAAACAAAATGTGGTGCCGTCAGGGGTGAAGCTAGAGGAAGTAAAAGAAACGTACTATGGATTAAATAAGTCAATTTTTAAAGGTATCGGATAGATGAAGTGTAGTATTAAAGTCCTGAATAAAGATGTGTTAATTAAAATTTTAGTGGATCCTAATGGGTGTGTTGGTTACTCGGTATTGCTAGATAGAGATTTTATTGAGGCAAGCGAGGCAAAGTTGAATATAGGAAATGTAGAATTTATGGATAGGGTGGTGCAAGGTGAAGAAGAAAACGTGAACGAAGTCGAGAATAAGAACAAATTTGTGAAAGTGCGCGAAGTTGAGGACATTGGTGATTCAGATGCAACATAGAAAAATATGGGTGGGATTACGAGCAAGGTCAAGGAGGTGAACAAAGATAAAGCTGAGAAAAATAGTGACATTAGTAAGATTAGATTATTAGCAATCGATATGCAAGATATGAGTGGAGTAGAGTGTGTAGTTGGAAGTGGGGTTAGTTTTAAAAACCGAAAATTTTTCCAGAAGATGTTTTGCAGAGAATACATAAATGTAAAAAGGCCAGATAAGCCCAGAGTCCAAAAGGAAATACGGCTAGTTTTAGAAAATGCGAGACCGGTTGCTTGCACACCTAGAAGATTGTCGTACAGCGAAAAAGCAGAACTACAAAGGATACTAGATGAATATCTAGCGAAAGGGTACATACGTCCTAGTGACTCAGATTTTATCTCGCCAATAGTGTTGGTGAAAAAGAAGAGAGGCGACTTACGAATGTGCGTCGATTATAGAAAATTGAACTAAGTTACGGCGAAAGACAACTACCCTATACCCTTGATAGACGACTTGTTAGACAGGCTACTAAATAAGAGATGCTTTACAAAGTTAGATCTTAAGAATGGATTTTTCCATGTTTTCGTCGAAGAAGTCAGTAAAATATACTTCTTTTACGACACCTTTAGGACAGTTTGAGTTTTTAAGAATGCCCTTTGGATTAAGAAACGCTCCACGGACTTTTCAAAAGTTCATAAACAAAATTTTTGCGGAAATGATACGTAGTGGCGAAGTCATAATATAACTTGATGACATTGGCCCGTAGTTATAGTCAAAATAAAGTCGACTCTAAAGTTAAAAGCAGCTTTTTGACATAACTTTCAATGGGATATCTGTCAAAGAAACCTGCTTCTATGATAGCAACACAAACTTTTGAAGAACACATGCGTATATTACAGAAAGTTTTCCGATGTTTAGTACAAAATAAGTTAGAGCTTAGGTTAGATAAATGCGAATTTTTTCAGTCGGAAATTTCTTACTTAGGGTATTCGATAACTGGCGATGGCATAAAGGCAGACAAAAAAGGATTAAAGGCAGTGGAAAATTTTGCTATTCCAACAAAAGTTCAAAAAGTGCAAAGCTTTTTAGGACTCTGTTCATACTTTCGTAGGTGCATACAAGATTTTTCAATTGTAGCTAAGCCACTTTATGATTAACTGAGATAAGATGAAAAATTTCAGTTTGGTCAAAGGGAAGTAGAAACCTTCGACCCACTTAAAAGAAAATTGTTGGAAGCACCCCTGCTGGCGATATATGACCCGAACGATGTTACAGAGTTGCATTGTGACGCCAGTTCAGTAGGATTCGGTGCAATACTGGTCCAAAAGAAGAAGGATACGAAACTACGAATCAAGATATCATAGCTTTGAGTTGGAGACGTTGGCAATAATATATGCGTTAAAGAGGTTTGGAGTTTATTTGTAGGGTATAAAATTCAAGATTGTTACTCATTGTAACTCTTTAACTCTAACTCTCAATAAAAAATACATCAATCCACGAATAGCGAGGTGGGCCCTCGAACTACAAAATTATCACTATGAACTAGAACATAGAGCAGGCAAAAGGATGCAACATGTTGACGCGCTGAGCAGAATAAATAACGTCCTAACGATCCATAGAAATACACCCGAGGAAAACTTAATTATATGTCAGAATAGGGACGAAAACCTAAAAACTATCAGAAAAAGATTGGAAAATACAGAAGATAGCCATTGTGAGATGAGAAACGGAGTCGTGTATAAAAAGAAGGATGGTAATTTATTATTTTACGTACCAGAGTCAACGGAAGAACATGTTTTGTATAAATACCACGTTGAATTGGGCCACATAGGTGTTGAGAGAGTAGTGGACACGATAAGTAAAAGCTACAGGTTCCCTAGTATTAGGAAAAAAGCAGCTGGGCATATCGAAAACTGCTTAAAATGTATAGCATTCTCCACAAAACACGGGAAAAAAGAAGGTCTTCTTAATATGATTCCTAAAGGAAACGAACCTTTTGAAATGTTACATATCGACCATTATGGACCAATTCATAGTAGCAACACAAAGTACAAACACATACTAGTAATAATAGACGCTTGTACAAAGTTCGTTCGGCTGTATTCAGCTAAGACCACGATGTCAAAAGAAGCGGTACTGTCGCTAGAAGATTGTTTTGGAGCCTACAGTAGACCAAAATATTTGGTGTCAGATAGAGGAACTTGTTTCACTTCCAATGAGTTTAAGGAATTCTTAGAAACCAATAATGTTCAACATATTAAAGTTGCAACAAACTCCCCGCAAGCAAACGGACAGGCTGAGATTGTTAATAAGGCCCTAGGCCTTAGCAAAAATGGTAGATTCGGGAAATGACATTAGCTGGCAAAAAGTGTTAGAGCCCAATGAACCAAGGCGTATTTAACAGGTGATTGCAGCACCCTTTTATTTTCCTTCGCCTCACGGCTTCATATGTAATATGGCTGCTGTTGATTGGTTGGAGCAGTTGATTGTTTATTGCTTTTTGTCCTCTTTCACATCATTCCTATGAAATTTTTGACAGTCCTCGTCGCAAAAGCAAAAACAAAATACATGTACATTTTGTTGTTGGCGTACCGATACCACCTTATTGAATACGCCTTGCAATGAACAATACCCTACACAAAGCGGTCAATGAACATCCTAGCGTAATGCTGTTTGGGGTGAGACAAAGGGGGGAAATATTAGATACACTGAAAGAAAATGTTTTAGATTTAGTACAGGTGTCTAAGGCTAGGTCAGTGCAAGAGGTGAGACAGCAAGCTCAAATAGTACAGCAAAAAGCACAGAAGTAGAATAAAGAGTACATGGATAGCAAACGACTACGTGCGCGTAAATTTAACTTAGTAGGAGCCTCAAGTAAATTAATACCATAGTTCAGAGGACCATATAAGGTAGCCAAAATCTTAGAACATGATCGTTACCTAGTTGAAGATGTAGAAGGTTTTCAGCAGACCCAAGTACCGTATAAGGGTACATGGTCCATTACAAACATAAAGCCTTGGCTCGAATGTAAGACGAAAGGAAATATGTTGGGACGTAATAATTATTGATAGGTATAGCATAGAATCAGGAGATTCTAGTTATCAGACTGGCCGAGTTGTAAGCATTTCTACATAGGTAAATGTAAATAGTACCTAAGCGAGCATGTTTATTGTTAGCACTAAGTCATGTTAATTAATTAACTAATCCCAACTTTTACCCTCCATTCCCGCCCAACCGACACGAGGGGCGCAGTCCGCATGACGTACGGAACCTTTTTTTTAGTTTTTTGGTGCCGAGTAGTGGAAACAGGAGTTTGTTAAGTGTCGAGATCTAAAACTATTCAGCTACAGAATCAAATTCATCAGCTGATTGGATATGCTAAATATAGTATTTCAATTATTGAGAGTGGAAATAATAGTTTTCTTTATAGTAAAAAGCGAGTCCGATACGTCAAACGTGCTGGAATGACAGTTAAAATCTTGACATAAACCACGGAATGATTCGTTTAGTTCAAAATTAGTTTTGCATGGCTTTAAAAATAGAGGTCGAAAG